TAAATGGTTGATTTGGAAATAAAATTATTGTCATATAATTCCATATTTTATTGTTCATGAAAGTTAAAAAATTCCTTTAATATGTCTCTGATTAGCGCCCCTTGTGTAACAATATTGTAGTGAGAACAGTGATCAGTTACATTAGAACATAAATATAAAACAGCTACATAAATTAAATAGAATCATAAATTAAACAGGAACTAAACTATATCAGGAATATAAGCAATAACATCAACACAGTGCATGCCACTCGCCGGTCTCTGTTACTCTCTACCCCTCGCCTCTCTGCCTATCGCCCCCCCCCCCCCCCTTACTGTCAGTAAACTCTTGGTTGCACGCGACAGCTTTTACTGCACGCAAATTTGTCTACATTTTCAATATCGAGATACTAATTTTACAGAATGTGTTTGTATTCCATGAATACAGAAATCAATTTCCTTCCGTCGTGTATTGTTGACAAAATTTAAAAAAAAAATACTCTTTCATTAGAGCGAGACACGGGAAGAATGGGGTTTAACGTCCACGCGACACAAACTAGGTCGTTCCGGGACTAACATATGGTCCCATTTTATTTAAATAATTCACTTGCGCGTATGGGTATTTAGCTGTTGGGTGAGTCGGGGTAATCAGGGAAACCCCCACGAGATTGGACAAGAGACTTTCATTCGCCATAAATAAAAACTGTTTATCTAGTGAGTTATTAAGTTATTTGTGTTTAACGAAATGCACGCAGCTTTAACAGAGGCCGAAACGATTTGCCACTTCCAGTAGCAGTAGAAGCTCTCCCGGAAGACTAGTCCATACAAGCGCAATGAGCAATGAACAGAATCAAATATGGCTAATGTGATCAGTTTATCTACTACATTTCGTTTCATTTTACGTCAATGTTATCCAAATCCAGACAAATCCAGTTGGGCTCGGAACATTTCAGTGTAGATTTGGAAAGATGGCAGTCAGGAGAGATAACCATAAAAAGTCAGGACTTTTCAAATTACAGAGCTTGTCTACGATATCGCCCTTGGTGGAAGTGGACGTAAAACCCCAAAAAGAGACAAATTACAGTAGGTGACCACCGTCTGTAAATAGACTGGGCTAATGAAGGCACTCATACGCAATACAATGTGGTTTGAGTGAGAAATGTCCCGAAAGCCGCGCTACAGCCTACACTTATTTCGAATTCGTATACTTTCAATGTTTATTTTACGTTCACGCCAATTTGTACACAAGGTCTCGGGTGTTCGTCCCATCTGAATGACTAGACGTAGTTCCTTGTCAGGCCCCTGTCATGACAAGGGGAAACCACGTCGGAAAACCCCAAAGAGCTTTCTCGGTCCACACCGAAACAACGCGATTCCCTGAAACCATCTGTAAATTTCCATTTATAACTTCGTTGTTGTTGAGTGGACGTTAACTTACATTTCTCTCTTGCCTGGACTGGTTTCAATCTATCAGGATGAATGCAATATTTTCATAATATTGACGCGAATCATGTGTCTTGGACAACGTCGTTTTGTCTTAATTCTCTTACGGCATTATTATAAGCGAGAACTGACCGTGACAGGGGAGCTGCGGTGGCCCAGTGAAATAACCGTTGGATCTCTAATCTGTAGGTCTCGTGTTCGATCCTTGTGTTGACTGATAATGTTTATCGAGTATTTTCCGGCGCTGTATGTCCGTCTTCATTAGCCCAGTCGGGGCGAAAAAGTAGGACGTTAACCCTCATTTCATTTCATATCAGAACTGGTCAAAGTTTTACATCTGCTCCACGTGGAATTCGAATAAAGAAGATTAAGTGGAAAAGGCACTGTTAGGGTCAAATCGTCCTGTCACACTGCGCACATAAACCTTTGTTTTTGGGAACTTTTGTCAAAATAAAAAGTCATATGACCAAATTATTTTGCTGATGAGACGCAAACCCCAATATATACCGTTCAGTATTCACATGAAACATACGTACAGGTACAAACTGTTCAATATGCAAGAAACATGGCGTCGGAAGTTGGGATAATGCAACTGACGTAAAACAATCAAAACAAGACATTATAAGGTCTAAGGTCTCTGAACGTCATTTCAGAATACTGGGGAATCCGTTGCAATATTGTCACCGTTAAATCGCTGAAGGATACCATTCAGTATTTACTAAGATATGGTGAATTGAAAATCTGGCCAACTTTCGGCATCCACTGCCGGCGATATAAATGGTATATTATCTTTAGAAATAAGCACTACCAATGTAATCTTCAATAAAATCTGTTTTTGAGCCTATTTTCGATACATGCCGGGAAATTATCTACATTTTATGCCTTTATTTTCATATCGAACAACCAAGAGTACATTTTAGCTGTGAAATATAACCGGAAAATGCAAACAGCGGCTTTTAAGCAACAGAATATGGTTTTACCGATGTTATTCATGATTTTTATATAAATTTTGGACACTCCTTTCATTTAATACAAGTAGGAAAACCTATTTAATTAGTATTTATTACTAATAAATTTAATCGATTATTTAGCCCAACATAATGCCTTATTTATGAGAATTTGCCAAGGGCAATGCAATCAATTTTACTAAATATTTTAACAGATTTAATTAATATTCATTTTATGTGAACACCGTTCATGTTGAAGGGAACACGATAACCGGAAATGAAACGAAATGAAATGAGGTTTACCGTCCTAATTTTCGGGGATGTTGTTGTTTAACGTCCGCTTCGACCGAACGTGATATCGCAAACAAGTTGTCTTATTTTGATTTTATTATCTTAGCGCAAGCCCATAGGATTTTCCTGTGGGAGGAAACCGGGGTACCCGGGGTAAACCAACGAGGTGGAGAAGGCGACGCCCCTATCTCTAAGCCACATACGCTTACACCAAGGATCGACCAGAGGTGACCGGCCAGCAGGATACATTTTTATTTCGCGTGTCAACAGTTTGCTTAAGCTGTGGGAGGAAGCCAGATAAGTGACTTAGAAACCATAGATCGAAACCAACAAAGTTCAAGGCTTATAAAACTCGACCACCCAACACAATCAAACCAACATACTTAATAATATAGTATTTAGAGGGGATTGAAATGAAATGAATTGGGGCTTTACGTCCTACTGTTCTGCACCAAATGGGATAATGCCGACGGGCATACGTCATACAGTGTGCCATGGGGGATATTTTGCAAGGACAGCGGCACTACGGCCTACTCTTATATCGAATTCCAACTGTCAATTTCTTTTTACGTGCATGCCAATGTGTACACGGGTCCGAACTATTATACCTTGTCACTTGTCACACCCCCTGTCCTGCATCACAGACCTAGAATCCTAGTGAACTGTCTCGGGGATTGAACAGGTTACGTTCAGGTTAGCGGCTCCCGTTTAGAGGCTGCAGTTATATACCCATTATAAATTATATTTAAAGGGACTATGCCGATTTGAACAGAGTCTCAAAAATAAAAACCTGAGTACGTAGGAAATTTTTGGGATGGTGTATTTACTTTGTCTCAAAACTTCAGCTCAAAATATTGAGTCGTTTGGACGTGAACGTCAAAACTGCTTTTCCGGACACGTAACCCTTTTAAGATATCGGGTCAGTTTTTTCGTTGGGTGACCCGATAATCGAATCCCGTTCCTTTAGAGGTCTATATAATGAATGACCAATGTGCTGTACTTGATAACGAAAGGTAAATTTTACCTACGCATTATTTTTATAAAATAAAAGTCTGGATTTATCCAGACACCGCATAATACAGCTCGGGACTCCGGTCTCCATTTCCAGATGAAGACTGACGGGTTTAAGTTGTTTGAAAACGTATCACATATATTGAGTTAGTTGTTCGGACCTAAGGCAGAGAATTTTAAGGGTGTTTAACACAAAATTAAGTCGTTTTATTCTCCAAAATATTATCGGGATTGGCCCTTTAATGAAAACATCATGGTGACGTATGGGGTCATGGGAACCCCATCTGTACAACTCCATCATGGGGTTTATGATGGTATCTCAGTAAATATGGCGCTGGCTCACTACTCAGGAGGTCTCAGGTTTGACTCCGATATTTTCAGGCCCGGTAAGTGATGCACAACGGGCTCCTTCGAAAATCCGACGATCCCTGCATAGCATTGGTAGCATGTTACCCCCCCCCCCCCTTTGCAGATGCTGTCAAGGTAAAATTAATGTCCCTCATAGTAATTGCAATCTATAGTCTTCAAACGGCCTATAATCTCTCTTCATATCTGCAACAACACCCTTGCTGGAATCGGACGTTAACCCTGAGCTAAAAGTAGTAAATAGTAAAAGGTATTCTAAAAATAAAAGTGCTAGGAGAGGAATTATAAGAATGGACCGAACCCGGACCGAAATCAAATGAAATGAAGGAGATTAGCGCCCTACTGGTCTGCTAAACCGAAATAATGAAGATGTGTGCTAAATTTTGCCCGGGCAGCAATTGAACTCCAACTTTCAAGATGTACCTCGATTTTCCGTGTCATCCATTCCTTGCCAGACTTCCCTCCCCCATTATGTACCATTCACAAGGGGAAACCATGCTGGAAAATCCTGCGGAACTCTTTTCTCGTCTAAACGGTATGAGGTATTTAAAACATATATAGCAACGGTAGGAATAATTTTAAAAGAACATTAGAGATCCGAAGCATTGAATAATCGTGTAGTAAAAAATTGGATTTACGTAGATTGGTAGAAATGCCCAACCTTGGGTAGACCTACATGATGGATTATTTCCTAATTGAAAGTTTATTGCAGAAGGGCATCATATTAGTGAACTGAGTACCTTGGAGCTAAAAACCTGTTGATTTATATATGACCCGTGTTATAATAAACTTAAAGTAGATTAAAACTCATTTTCGCTAAACAAAAAAATCCTCAGGGCAAAAAAGTAAAACGAGAGCTATATTTTAAAATCAGTAATTGATTGATTGTTTTTTTCTTGGCTAGATCGTGACGAGTAGCTTATTGACATCATAACTAACCCTACCCTAAGACACGACAGACCATTGGCTAAAAGGACCTGTCCCTCTAAATCTACTTTAAAAGTCGGATAAAGCGTTAACAGGTCGTCTTCTGTGTTAGTTAACTATTAATCCTCAACATGGCTGGCCAGAGTTGTATTGCGTTATGTGTCGTTTTAGGACTTCAGCTAGCAGCTGCCCAGATGTGGCCACCTCAAGCCTCAACCATGTGGCCACAACAACAAAACTGGTTTGGAAATCAAATGAATGATATTACTCAACAAGGAGGTAATAGTTTTAATATCAACGTCATATTTTGTCACTTTTGATAAATTCTTATTCTTCAATACCTTTCTTATTTGTACTAAAGTACCACATTCGAAGCAGTATTTTCAAAACTTTGAGATCTCCAAGCGTTTTTTTTTTGTGTTTTTATTTTGTGTTCTTCCTATTGTGTCAGATTATACCATCCAAGGTTTGAAGTACGCTCTCGTGCCGTTATTTCTTTCGTGAGCAAGATGACTTTTAAATCAAGCCTTCGATCAAAAAGGGTGGGCAGAAAGAGTTCATTTAGTACCACAAAAAATCTCCCAAATGGTTACCCAATGCACGGAAGGTTACTCTCAGCGATAAGTGAGCGTTTGTGAATTTCCAAGACAGCTGCACACAAATGTTTGGTGAACTGCGGCTCTAGCAGAATTGCTACGAACCAGAAAAGGTGAGGCCGGCCCAGAAAAACGACACCCCGAGACGACATTAGACTACCATGGCAACAAACAATTACATGGTCACCAGATAGTTCTTGCAAGTATCTGCGTTCTGCACACGCCAGATAAACCCATCATGCTTTTCTGGCGAGTGCAGCTAACAATAATCTGCAAGAACTAACTGTTGTCTGCATTGAAGGAACACAAATTAAAAATAAGACGCTTATTGGTCTAAAACCTTTGCAAATGATTGTATTCCAACGAGAGTACTTTGTCTATTTATATTCTTTGAATGGCATTTAGTAATTGGAAAATGATCAAATAACACACTTTTATGGAATAACAATATAGTCCGGTTATGGCGAACGTGCCATAAAAGTCCATTTCATTTTAATCATTTCTGATTCTAACATGGGTAGCCATGGTGTCCCAGTGCGTAAAAACGAATTCCCACTATCCAGCGATTTGTTAAACAAATTCGGCCAGTGTTCTTTGTGTTTAAAAACTATTTAATGACATCAAAATTAAACTGTTAAGAAAACAAACAACAAAAGAAAACCATTTTTTTTACTCAAAGTATTTAATTCGAACAGTCTTCATTAGCAGAAAAGTAGGACGTGAAACGCCTTTTAAATGTTTTAATTCATTCCTTTCGTTTAATTGGATGAAATTTGTTTTAAAATTAAAATTTAAAATCAATTTATTACAAGAAAAAAAACCTTGAAAAATTCGCGCATTCTTTTTCAATAATTCTAGAACATTTATTAATTGTGAAGAACACATTGTTAGTTTTTTCTACATTTACGACAACCATTTTGAAATATATATGCGGAGATTTTTTAAAAATGGTTGACGCGTCAACAATGGGCCTTATACATGTTGAATGTGCGCCACCCAGAACCGTTTATGTACTCTTTGCTGAGTATGTTTTAAGTTTTATGACTAATTTTATAAAATGGGGTTTCTTGTCCTACATTTCCGCACCAACGGGATAATGTAGACGAGTGTATGGAATGTGCAATCGAATTCCAACGATCAACCGTTATTTAACGTGCACGGCAACGTGTACACGGGGCCTCTTTTTTTCGACCGCCCAGAGGACTGGACGACGTTCCTTACAGTGTCCTTTGGCACGTACCCCACCTCCACCCTACATCCCTGACAAAGGGAAACCAGACTGGAGAATTCCAAAGAACTTTGTCAATCAAAACGCTAGACGTCCTGCTTATTGAGCAAGGGCCTTACCCACTGAGCCACCGTGAATATATCAGTATAGAATTATATATTCATAAATAAACATGCATTATTGAAACTTTTAACCCATGGTTACATGGATCATGCGCTATTAAGAGCCATAGTTTGAGCTTTAGATCATAAGGTATGTTGATGAGAGTCATATGATGTGATTTCCACACCCAAACTTGGACGTGGATAGGATCGCCTCTCTAACTTCGTGGGTTTTCTCCGCTCAAGCGAAATAACATTGACTCTCTCTCTCTCTCTCTCTTTACTACAAATATTCATATTTTATTATTTCAGCCCAATATGCCACCTGTATGGTCCAAACACAAGGTAACGATCAATTAAGAGTTACCTTCGAAAGACCAACACCAGCTCAAAATCAAGTATGATATATATTTTTTAAAATTCAATAATACTAGTGTATTAGAAAGAAACGTTTCTATCGGTTAAATTGGATATGTTGATTATTTTACCGTTATTATAGAAGTTGAGCGTTTGAAAAAACGATATACGGTAAAACATTCTACTCTTGCGCAATATAGTGTGATATGGGAGAAATCGTGCCCGGACAGTGGCTACACGGCCTGCTCTTATTTCGAATGTTTTTTACGTGCATATCAATGTGTAGACGAGGTCTAAGCAATTGCCCCGCCCCCCCCCCCCCCGCCTCGAAACCTATTCCTTGCAAGGCCCTCGGTCCTGCACCATTGACAAGGGGAAACCACACAGGGAAATCCGTTGGCTAACTCGAGACGCTTGTTGAGCCATTGTCTTAATCGCTGATGCATCGCGGCTGTTCGGGTGTTTGGCGAACAGGACCCGAAGACCGAAAGCTGTCCGAACAAACCCTTCGCCATTTTAAAGACCTCACACGGAATGAGTTAGCTGTCAATTCCAGTGGGATTCAAAACGTTGTACCTTTTAGTATGCACGCCAATAAACACTTTACCGTAGGATCTTAAGTTGTAGTGGTGGACCCGCCACCGCCCGGGCAAAATTCTCCTACATAATGTTACACAAGTGACCATAGTACATACAGTTAATAATATTTGTGTCTTAATATCACCGACTTATTGTGTTGAAGACGTGTTGGGATAGAGGGTGGCCGAATAGTCTAAAGTGTGCGCTTTAGAACATAAGGTCAATCATAATGTTACACAAGGGACCATAGTACATACAGTTAATAATATTTGTGTCTTAATATCACCGACTTATTGTGTTGAAGACGTGTTGGGATAGAGGGTGGCCGAATAGTCTAAAGTGTGCGCTTTAGAACATAAGGTCAATCATTGAGTCAAGTGACGCCATGTTGATCCCACACAATCGTCACCTAACCAAAGGTAAATACAAATGAAATGAAATGGGGTTTAGCGTCCTAATGTTCTGCTCCGAACTGGGCCAATGAAGACGGGCATACGCCATACAGTGTGCTATGAGGGAAATTTTGCCCGGACAGCGGCACTACGGCCTACTCTTATATCGAATTCCAACTGTCAAGGGATCTTTTACGTGCACGCCCATGTGTACACGGTTTTTCGTCCCATCCGAACGACTAGACAGCTGTCGTAGTCAGGCCCTCCGTCCTGCATCACTGACAAGGGGGAACCACGCCGGAAAATCTGGATGAACTTTCTCGGTCAATGCAGGGATCGAACACCCGACCTCCAGACTAGCGAGCCAGCGTCTTACCCACTTAGCCACGTGATCCCCCAAAAAGGTAAATACAAAATCGAGTAACAAGAAGAAGAAGACACACCACACATGGTGCGCACATCCGGCAAACGCCCGATAATTTTCCACATTAATTCTCCTTATCATATTATTAATTGTCATTTTTATAGTTACGTGTACATCGCGAAGCGAGAGGTGTATTTTCCAAAACAGTTTCAACACCAATGCACAACGATTCAGTTAATCCAACCATTTATACTGATCCTAACCAAATTGTTTTTTTTTATTCTAATTTTTCTGAATTTAATTCGCAGGGCTGGAATCAATGGGTGAACCCTTCAGCACCAATCCGTATGACTGCTAATATCGTTTCTGGCACGATCGCGGGGCAATTGCAGATGATAATTACAGAATACGGGCGAACATCTGGCGGTGTTTGTTATCCAGAGTACATGGGAAATATTATTCGCGGTAATGCACAAAATGCTATGATGAATCAAAACAATTTCTGGCAAGCATTCATGCTACAGGGACAACAACAACAAAATAATGAAAGACTGTAAGCATTATTATTACTACTGCTACCGCTATTACTATTATTATTATTACTGCTACTATTTCTACTACTACTCTTACTACTACGCGAAAGCGAATTATTGAAATAAAAACCGAATCATATGTTAATGTTAATCCCGAAATCACCTAATTTTACGTCGAGTGAACATTAAATCTCATTTCTCTTTCTCCCCTTTACGTAATTTGATAATTATGTTATAATCTGATCAATGTCCCTTTGCGTGACTTCAGTTATTGATAATTATGTTCAAACCAGGCCCTTTGTCCAACTTCACTTATTAAAAATTATGTCCAAACCAGGCCCTGCGCCCCTTTATGCGAGTCAGTTATTGAGAAATATGTTCAAACCTGAACCTATGTCCCATTACACGACTTCCGTTATTGAGGATTATGTTAAAATCTGCCCCTTTATGTGACTTCAATTATTTGAAAAATATGTTAAATGTCCCTCGACGTGACTCACATATGTTAAAACTATGTTAAAATATCACTTTCTTTTCCTGTGCCATTTATTATACCTATATATTGCAATTTGTGTTTCAGTGGTGGTGTTATTGGCAGTCCCATATATCTTAATCAAGGACAATCCGCCACTATGTCTGAACGGGTTGACGTTAATTTCGAAGATCTGTTTGGTCGTGGAATAGCGGTAAGTTCTTAATATGGGTTGCAATAGATGTGTAGTGTCGGAATTCATCTAAATAAAAAACAACAGAAAATTAAATGAAATGGGGTTAACGTCCTAATTTCCGCAACGACTGGTCTAATAGAAGAACATATACCACGCAGTGGGCTATGAGGGACTGTGACTCTACGGCTTACCCTAATATCGAATTCCAACTGTCAAGGGTTCTTTTACCTGCGAGACAATGTCTACACGAGACATCGGTTTTTCGTCCCATTTGAACGACTATACGTTGCCCCTTTCCAGTCCATGCATTCTACAGGGATCGAACACGGGTCTAAGTCAAAACATTGTGATCTACCAAACTGAATTTTGCGATCTATCAAACTAAATTTGTTGCTGTTATGTCAGCTCTGTCAGAGTCTAAATTTTGTTATTGTTATTTCTGCTCTGTCGGAGTCTAAATCAAAACATTGTGATCTATCAAACTAAATTTGTTATTGTTTTTCAGCTCTGTTCGACTTTAAATCAAAACGTGTGCTCTAGAATGGCACAGTTGTGTTGCACTATCGGCCAGGATAAAAATGCAGCTTCTAATTTGAACAACATAGGCATGAACGGCGCCATGAATGGTGGTATGGTTGGTGGCGTAAACAACCCCCTGAATGGTAATATGAACCAATTTGGAATGGCTTCTAGCAATGGGCTTCAACAGCCCATGAACTCTGGTCTAAACACACAACCAACGGGCGGACAACAAAGTATTGCATTCGGAATTTAAGAATCTTTTTAAATCGATTAAAAAAAATGTATGTATCAATGTTGTGCAAACGATACCCGCCTTGGTCTAAATTAACAGAGACGATGTATCAATTAAGTAACTGTATTTTCAAATTTGTATTGAATTGAAAACCTAGCATACATGTAATACATGAGTTAAGTATTTAACATAATATTTTTATTTAATCTTTGAAATGGTAATATATAATTAGTAGAATTTATATTGTATAATTTTTTATGACTATCCACCGTGCTTAAGTTCAGTTTCCTTCCATGGCCGTTTCAAACTTAACAAAAACTATTTCTAATATCATTTCTCTGTATTATTATTGCAATTATGGTTATTAAATGTAAAATTGTATCTGGAAATGGTCTACATGTTGTTGCGTAATTCTTTGGGTTCCGGGGGTGGGGGGATGCGCGTTGTATCATAAGATCTGTCATTGCGTCAACTGGCGTGGCTCCGATTCCCCGTTGTGAGTGACAAGGAGTGGGGTCGCCTGTCCGACTTTGTGGGTTTCCCCCGGGTCGGCCGATTTCCTCCCACTGTTAAAGATAATTATTGAAGTAAAATTGAACCATATGTTAGTCCAGAAATGACCTAGTTTGTGTCGAGTGGACATTAAGACCAATCTCTCTCTCTCTGCGCTTTAAATTATTAGGTTCGTCCTTCAGTCAAGTGTCGGGGTTTCGATTCACCACTTATAGTAATGGAGGAGTATGGGGGTCATATTTCAAACCTCGTGAGTCATTTTCCGGGTCATCTGGATTCCCCCAAGACCCATAGGCACATGGTGATTGTTGAAATAAAGTGGAACAATAAATGTGCTGCTTCTAGTTCTAAAAGAAATTTGGTACCATAAATAAATATGTTATTTATAGTGTTGTATAAATCTATCTATCTACAATGGTGAATATTAAATGTAGGCCCGTTGGGGAGGTTCGGGAATTTGCGAAGTCCACAATGGCCACTTTATATATAAATGAGTATTTTTGGAAATACTAAGAAGGGTAAAAGGAAAATTTGATCCAACTTAAATCTTCTAAAAAAAGGTTAGGGTTAGGTTTAGTATTCCCAAAAATACCCATTATATAAAGCGGTCATTCCCGAACCTTCCCACTCGGCCTACAATTATCATCTCCCATTCACCTTGTCTTTCTCCTGAATCAAGAATCAGTCACCCCAAAGGTTATCCTATACCAAATAGGTCAGCTGTATGATTCCAACCAATACTCCTCTTGGCTTAAAGCATTGTCTGATATCATGCACGGGGCAGGATATGCGAGCTCATCAAATGGAAGCACGTACGTGGAACACGTTTGTTTTAAATTATTTTGTGAGTGATTGTAACATAATCTATATTGTGTGAAATCATGCCGACCCTAATCCTAATAAAATAAATTTCCTTCTGTTATTTGCCAAGATAAGACGAGAAAGGGCTTAATGTGTCTTAACGTTCACTCGACACAAACTATGAAACGTAGGCCCATGTCTAAAATAATCCGTGTTTAGGTTTAATCGGTAACTAGCTAATTAGAGATTAGTAGTTGGCTAAGTTTGGCATTCTCAAATGTCAGATTAGCTAATCTTAAACTAGAATTTCTCTTCGTCAACGATTAAAATTAAGTTTTAAAATTTGAATCACTGATTTCATATAATCATTGATTAAAGTGTTTTTGTTTATCAATGACGAAAGCGACCAGTTACCGGAAGTAGATTACAAAAACATGAACGTGTTTCCCAACCTGGGGTTCAAAAGGATCGGTAGGGTGTAAGCAGGGAGAAAGGGACATCCAAGTAAATTAGAGTATGAACTTTTTGGTATTGTAGAAATTTTTAGTATTGGGACAGTGCATTTCAGCAGTTGGTATCCGTCACATTTCCCAGAAACGACCTAGTTGAGTTCACAAAGTAAATTAGAGTATGGATTTTTTGGTATTATAAAAAAAATGTAGTATTGGTAAAATGAATTTCAGTAGTTGTTATCCGTCACATTTCCCACAAGAGACCTAGTTGAGTTCACAATGGGGAGGTGCGGTGGTGTAATCGTCTTAACTACAATAGAGAAATCTCTCGGATTAACACCTGAATTTATCATTATTTGTCAATTTTGTATAAACTTGCAATATTTCAATTTAAAGGGAACATCCTGGATTTTAACACTCAAAAACAAAAGTGTACGTAGAAAATTTAAACGCCAAAATATAGAATAATGGTGTATTTACCTGGTCACAAAATGTCAGTTCGAAATATTGAGTTGTTTTGACGTCAACGCCAAAACCGCTTATCCGGATACGTAACCCTTTTAAGGGTTCGATTTAATTTTTTTCGTTGGGTGACCTGATAATCTATTGCCGTTCCTTTAGAGACGGCGTGCTCAACTTGATAACGAAAGGTATATTTCACCTACACGTTATTTTTATAAAATAATAGTCTGGTTTTATCCAGACACCGTATAATACTGCCTGGGAAACAGGTCTCCGTTTTCAGATGAAGACTGGCGGGTTTAAGTTGTGTGAAAACGTATCACGTATATTGAGTTAGTTGCTCGACCCAAAGGTTGAGGATTTTAATGGCTTTTCACGCAAAATTAGGCAGTTTTATTCTCCAAAATATAGTCGAGGTTGGCCCTTTAAATAAGACCCCTGGAAGATGAAAATGTAATTATCATTTTTAATAAAGTTGTTCGCACCGCCCCGCTTGGCATGTCATTATATACACATAAATTGTGTCTATTTCATGTTTCGATGGAATTTAATTGCATATAACTGAGTGCCAATTACATAAAATGCCATGAGATAAATTAAATATAATATCGTTTATTATATAAAAAACATAAACATTGTATTTGTAATTATAAAGCTTCAAAGACATATAAAATACAATTACTGAGTTCGCTCCGCTTTGAACTTGGCTTTTTTTTTGGGGGGGGGGGGTTCATTTCTTTCATCTTGTTGTTGGGACATATTGTGTGAAACTGCAACAAAGAATGTAACAAACTCTTTTAATGCAACGAATATCATTACTAGTCGACTTTGCCTTGTGTTTTTTTCACTACATAATAACCAGCGTTGGTGTTTCGGGGGGCCGCGGGCGTTTTCCCGTATAGCATATCAAGGTTGTAAACTGTCGGTCGTTGCTTCATGAACATGCATCCTTTACGGCTCAAAAATTTCTTGCACCTTGTTTTTGTAAACCGAAAATATAGAGAATTATAGGCAGACAGCGTAAGTTGAGTGTGCGAAGAGACGAAGAGTGTGTGTGAATTATGGAGAAAGGGGGTTGTATGGTGTTAAAAAAAATAAAATAAAGGGAGCTTAGTGAAATAAAGGGAGCTTAGTGGATAAGATGCTGTTGGCCGAGAAGGTTCATCTGGATTTTCTGCCTGGTTAGTTACCCTTTGTCAGTGGTGCAGAACGGAAGGTGCGAAAAACCGAGGTCCCGTGGATCTAAAAGAACCCCTTACAGTCGGAATTTGAAATAAAGAGTTGTTCGTAGTGCTGCTGTCCTTCATAAAATACTCAGATAGCAGAAACAAATAAAAAAGACGTAAACCCCTTTTCTTTTATTTCATTTCAAAATAAATGTCGTTCCATGCTTATTTGGTTCATATCTGCATAACTGAATGCACATTTCCTCAACTACCTCCCTGAGATGACAAATATTTGGTGTGACTTAATCAACGGTTAAGTACAAGTTAACGTTCAAGAATATCACATTTTATGGTATTCACGAACAATGATTAACTCAGTGATTAGGTTAATCAAAGTTTATAAAAATCTTAGTTTTAAAATTTAGTCAGCTTTCCAGAATATGACTTTTCAGAAAATCGGAGATTACATCTATAAGTAGCTCTAATCTACTATCAAAAGTATGGGCCTTTGGGACTAAAATATGGTTTAAATTTATTTTAAACATTCGCTTGCGCGTAAGGATATTTAACAGTAGGGGGAAACCGGAGGACCTGAGAAAACCCAACTGGGCCCACACATGCATGCATTGTCCTCTTAAACGCCTTTCGCATAATCCGTCTTCATTAGCCAGGTCGGAGTAGGACGATAAACCTCATTTCATTTTCTTTCGCATAACGTAAAAGATTACTAAAATATTTGATATCCACGAGTCTTAGGATGTATGTTTACCCCACAACAACGCGCTGTAATTTCTTGTGTCATGTAATCCTATTTAGAACGCGCGAAATGTATTACGTTCAATTAACTAGTATCTAACAGAATATTGCAGAAAAACTAATTCTGTGATCAACGAGGTTATCCAAAATAGCTACAATGTAAACATTTGGTAAATGCTTACGTGGAATCTTTTTATTATCTCACATATTGCATGCAGCGACCCATCTGCTTCATACCTAAAGAATACATCACTGCCCTAAATGCCGTCCATTTAAAACGCCCACGTGATCATTCCGGGCTGGTTTGTGTAAACAAATATGTCAAGTTAGCAAAATGTCGACCTCTTCTACTCCGGTAAAAGCGATATATAGTAAGCAGAAAAAGAAATGTCAGGTTGGTATGTTACTCTGAATAGACGCATTGCATAAAACTTGCCAAATGTTCTTATTGTATATTTGTTACCACATCTCCAACTTTACCTGAGCAATAAGGCTCCTTCCCAAACACAGAAATGAACTCAGGAAATGTTCTCAAAATCGCAACCTGACTTCTGGTTACGTACTCGAAACCACACCAATTAAATCAATGACAGACACTGTGATCTAACGTGCACGTTTAACCATTGACCCCCACTCCACCCCCTCCCCTCGAGCGTTAATTAATATCGTGACTGTCGTATGAATATCTGGCTGGTATGGGTTTGCGGCTACATGTAGGGTTGCCCGATAGCTACAATTTGGGTGGGATATAAGGGCAGCTCGAGTCATGAGTGACATAGGCCTGGGGGTGCTGCACTATCGCTTCCGGCTTCCGAGTCATACTAATTTCGGTTGGGCTGTACATGTACAACGTCTTGACCACAGCTAGTATGTTCTGTGTGATATTTATTTTCATTTTTAATATTGGAATACAGTACGACTGCTGTATATGGCCGATTACCATCCCATTCTTCTTGGGTTGCACCTGAAGCGAAAATATCCCCTTTAATTCATCTCAGATTGAAAGACATTAAACTTTAAAAAAATATATTAAGATTAACACTGAATTCACGATTTTTCTCGTGATCTTAATTCTCTGATATATTCTATTAATATTTTAGCTTTGATTAAATTAACACCAAGTCCATAATGAGCTCCATCAAAACTATTCACACCATCAGTTAAATTAAAACTGTCAAATACAGGAATATCCCATTTGCTTAAATAAGTTCCGATATGGTCAGTAAACTTTATTACACTTGCATGACTTTGTTCCGGAACTCTTGGAGTCTTTAACATTCCTGGTGCGTGCGGAGCTGCCCATACGATTTTTGGCCACGTCAAATTAAATGACTTTCTATGCCTGAGAATTGGGAACAAAAGCTGGGACCACAACCTAGCATGGTCATAATTGTCATGAATACCCTGTCCTATGATACAAATTGTATTACGTTGATTGGAGACCGATCTTATGAGTCTACTGATGTTGGCTGCTACAGGGAGGCTGTTATATTCCTTCAACTGAAGAAACGTGTTGCCATTACACAGACTTGGATACATGTCTATAAGTCCGCGACATTCCTTCTCTGTAAACATGTACAAACCGACACATCTATCATGTTGACCTGCAAATACAAACACAATCTGATTAAATGCAGATCTATTTTTCGTTTCGTTTCGGTTTTTTTTTATACTTTCGTTGGCATGCAAAAGGGTATTCGGAAAAACAAAGATCGCTGAGAATGTCCCACAGTTCCCGTGTTAGATAAGAACTCGACTCAACAGATCATTTAATTGGCTAATCCTTCGCAGTATCCAGAACGCGGGTTATTTAACAACTCTTCTAGATCCTACTGTAGTAAAACGAAATTTTAAACTATAAAAAACTAAATAATCAAATTGGTATAAACAAAATAACTATATATGACAGAAGTGGTACTGACGGTTTAGTTATCAGAGATATACGTATACACCGCCAAACAAAACAAACATTAGCTAGAACTATGTCAACTATACGCCATACATTGTGCTACGAGGGAAATTATTGCCTGGGCAGTGGCGCTACCGCCTACTCTTAAATCGAATTCGAACTAATAAGGGTTCTTTTAAGTGTATGCCAACGTGTAACGGCGTGGACCTCGGATTTTCGTCCCATCCGAAAAACTAGACATTGTCCTGACCAGAATATCTGGCCTGCACCAACTGACAAGGGGATACACCACTCGGGATATTTCGGGCACTTTCACGACCGAACCCCGGACGCCGTAGTTAGTGAGCCAGTGCCTTAACCGCTGAGCCACCTGGGTTACCAAAATAACTATATATGTGAGAAGTGGTAACGGGGTATAGACAAACGTATGCACCACCAGCGAGAGAGATAGATAGATGGTCTGTAGCAATGGGTGGAAATCAGAGAATCATGAGCAAAACTACAAGGTTGGACTGACGACCGCACTCCCTGTACCGTACAGGCGGGGAATCAAAACCATAAAACTTGGCTTAATGACAGACCTGATGATCTAAAGCGCATATGTCAGACCATTCGACCATCCAATCCAATAGCTGTAAACCTACATAGATGTATATTTAGAAATACATGTACTTCTACCATAATAATACAGAAGTATATACGGAGCACCCTGCACGTTTCAAGTCAGTAGCTTGAAGCGTATATATGGTATTAGTGTCAGTGGCTTGTGGCACGAAGTAACAGTATATTGTCGCATACATAATATATTATGTCAACGCTTGGGCGACATAATATATTGTGTTGACGCTCCAAGCGTGTTAGCATATTAGACCTGTAGACTCAGTGGAATCATCAGAGCGGATCCAGGGGTTGGACCATGGGGACCGGTCCACCCCCTTAACAATAGAAAGTGTCCCTGTAAATAAAAGAGGGCATCCTTATCAGAAAAAGGGCACCTGTGATGTCAGAATTTCAAAAAAGGGCACTTTTCTTTCGGATTAGGGTTAGGGTTAGGGTTAGGACACAGAAAAGAGAGAAAAAACAGAAAAGAAAAAAACAATCGAAACTTACCGATTCCATGATGGAAAATACCGCCAAAATATGTCTCCAAAGCATTCATTGGTTATCAAAGCGCCAATTAAATCTATCGTTGCAAGTTCATGCCTAGTCACCTCCATCCTAGTTCCAAGCGTTGACATAATATATTATATCGCCCAAGCGTTGACATAATATATTATGTATGCGACAATATACTGTTACTTCGTGCCACAGGCCACTGACACTAATACCATATATACGCTTCAAGCTACTGACTTGAAACGTATCGCCTGTACGGAGTTTCTGTTAACTACTCACGGAGATCGAAAGGACAAGAGTACTGGGACAATACCAACCAATACTAGAAATCCTACCCCATTCTACCTCATTATTGTGAAAAAAAAACCCAGATTATATTATGCTAATTTAGATTATTCGTGGTAAACTTGCAGAAAAGGGTACGGCAAATGTTATGGCAATATCTCGCTATTTAAGTTATCTCCCTTGGTTACCCAGCACTTGCAAATTTTAACCCACAATATTAAATTATTATACCAGTACAGTTTTGTAAAGTAATGGTTCAATATTACCAAGGTATTATATAATAGTATCAAGAAACATCTCAAATATAGCGTTTAGTAAAGAAGCAAACACATTTTCAATTGACCTGGTCACCTGTTCTTGCATGCGCGTTGTATCATAAAGTCTGTCATTGAGTCAACTCGCGTGGTTTCGAGTCCACGGTTGTACGTGACAAGGAGTAGGGTCGTCTGTCTAACCTCGTGTGTTTTCTCCGAGTTCTCCGGTTTTCTCCCACTGCTAAAGACCCCGACGCGCAAGCGAATTATTGAAATAAAATCGAACCATATGTTACTCCCGAAATGACATAGTTTGTGTCAAGTGTACGTTAATCCCCATCTCACCCACACACGTGAATGGGTTTTGTTAACTACTCCAAGACAAACCTAACGTCGGAAAACAGAAACAAACACATATTTTGGTCAAATGGTTCCTAGTCACGTACACTTACCACACAATGAAGATTTAATGTATAAAGCGCAAGTTTTAGACTAGTCGCTAAACCAACACCAACACGTTGCTAATGGAAATGTAAAGGCGAATCTAATACTAGACCGTCAAAATAAAAAAAAAGTTAAACACAAACCGGCCATTTGCGAACAAGTAACCCAAGAATTTCCGTTTTTAATATAAAACACATTACCTTTTGTGATATATTTGCTCATTCCGCCATCAAGTGTATTATTCCGCAGTAGCAGAAGAAAAGCAAGGTATACATGTCTAATAAAAGAGTCCCCAATAAAAATAATCTTCATTTTGTTTAATATGTCGCACATTTCCGTGTTATTTCTCTCTGGAATGCTGCATGCTCTGTTATCGGGCACCCATGACGCGTGCTCGGCATTAATGGTCTGTCTCATATCATAACAATCATCGCATGCACACTGACTAACATTATGATTAGTACAAACGTTTTGATGGCAACATGGCGTAGCTCCATACGGATCACACAAGGCACGAAACCACAACAGATTGTGGAAGCCTTTCTTTAGGTTATCAAACGTCACATTTCCACATTTACCGTCTGTTCGCTGTAAAGATGGCGGAAGTAAATGTTGAGTTCTAGCTCTCTGTAAAAACGTTTTCATCTCTATATGTTCCTCTGACGTCACTAGGCGTGTCTTCCAATGTCCCCGTGGCATGTACTTCAAAATATCTGGGCAGCTCGTGGGTTCCTTTTGGGTTCCCGTTATTGCAGAAATATAGGCCAGTAAACCCCATTTCGTTTCGTTTTGGATTAATCTTTTAATTCCATTCGTTAAATTAGTCTCCCCATGACTGATATAAAATAGTGCTAAATATACGGTCACAAATAAAACGGAAGTTCCAAATAAAACCACTTTTATCTTAACCATAATGGCGGCATTAATTTTATTCTGAAAATTACAAACAAATAAGAGTTAAAATTATCTGAGAAAACTTAGATATTCTATGTATACCTGGCCCCGAATTCACAAAGCATTCTCGGACTTAAGTTAAGGATTACTCAAAACTGTTCGCTTTATTTTAGCTAAAATATAGCCCTTCATAAAACTTTTGTTGTTTTAATGTATCAAATACTTCAATAAGAAACTATGTGCAAAGTTTTGTGTTTCTGGATCAAAGATATTTCTCATGTACAATGATTGAAAGTTGAGTTAATTCTAAACTTGAGTCTGTGAATGTTGTATAAACTCTGGACCTGGGGACTCATTGATTAAGGGGCTGATTTACTAGCCAAGAGGTCTCGGTTTCGATCCCGCGAAAGTTTCTCTGGTGGTGTAGGGCGCAGGTCCTAACAACGAAACAGTTTCTATTCGTTTATATGGAGCTAAAAACCGAGGTCCACTCCGTGTACTCCTAAAATTAATCTTGGCTGATGGAAATATCATGGGGCTTTCTGCACCGACTGGGTTAATGAAGACGGGCATATAATGTGCCATTAGCAGTGCCGGACTGGGCCCACCTGTCCGTGACAGGTGGGCCTAAGCTCATTAAAAAAGGGGGCCTAAGTCTATAAAGAAAAAAGAGAAAGAAAAAAAGAAAAGAGAAAGAAAGGAGAGGGGGAGGAAAGAAAAGAAAGAAGGAAGGAGAGGACAAGAGACAGGACAGGAGAAAGAAAAGATAGGAAAAAAATGACAAACAACACAAAAAAAGAAGTGTACTAGAATTCTCAAATTCATCTAATGATAGTGCTCTTAGGTCATTCTGTTCTCTAATTGTATAAGGAAATCAAACATTTGCCTTCTTTTGCTTTGGTCTGAAATGCTTGGAAAATGGGTTTGCGGTTGTCAATTTTAAAATTTTCCTGGGGGGAGATCCCCAAAGACCACCTCGGATCGCGCTCGTGACACGCCTTCGGCGGGTACTTGTGTGGGCCTTGGTCAATGACGTAGGCCCACCAGTCCGGCACTGGCCATTAGTGAAACTGCGCTAGGGCCTAACCCCCCTCCCCCATGTATCGGATCGAAACGTCATGGATTATAGCCACTGGTTGTACGAAAAATCATGTTTTTAGCTTGTGGACACCCTAGAGGTAGCAATTGTTATCCGATTTAACAAAAAATGTTTAATATATCACCATTACACCCTAATGATGTTTGAGTTTGAATTTCGTCTAAATCGGACCAAAACCGCCGGACAAAATAGCCGCCCCTCGTAAGCAAATAGTGTAAATATATGGTATATCAAGGTTGTGGACCCTCTAGAGGCCACAATTTTGATCCGAACGTAACTCCTTGGATTATGGCCCCTGATTGTTCGAAAAATCTCATTTTTAGGTTGTGGACTCGCTCGAAGTCACTATTTGTATTCGATTTTAAATATATCACCGTTACACATCAATTTGGCAAAACCTTACCCAAACTGCCGGGCAAAATGGCTGCTCCTTGTACGCAAATAGCGCAAGGTTGTGGACCCTCTAGAAGTCACAATTTTTATCCGATTTTGATGAAACTTGAAATGCATGATTATAATCCAAAGATCTTGGGTTTCTGTCGATATTTGCGCATATCGGACCGTGACTCCCTGGATTATGGCCCCTGGTTGTACAAAAAATCTCGTTTTTAGCTAGTGGGCCCTCTAGAAGTCACAAGTTTTATCAGATGTTAATGAAACTTAAAATATATCTTTATATCCCAAACATCTCAGTCCATTTCAATATTCGCGCAATTCAGACCATCACGTCATAGATTATGGCCCTTGATTGTACGGAAAATTGCTTTTTTTAGCTTGTTCTCTATCCATCTTTTGTAAAATGTGGGCGTATCTTCAACATTATCCGCCATTTGTATGTATCGAACTGCCTGCCTATCCCCCCCCCCCTTCCGCCGCGACACACTCACAAAAAACCCCGCTTAATCAACAATAGGGTCATATATACTTATTTAGAGATGTAAAGTTCTATTTTAGATGATCATCAACATCATCACATTTCATCCCAATGTTAGAAATTGGACCCATCCCACTTAGTCCACGTGACAGACCTCGGATTTTGGAGCATCATTATCAATTTGATGAATAGATTCAACCATGATTTTCAGTTAGCCTGGTACATGAAGTATTGGAAGTTGGTTGATGGATTTTAGAGTCACTTTGCTAAATTCCATTTTGAGGGCCATCTTTAAAACTGGCAACCGTTATTTCATTGAAATATGAAAACCTTCATAACTCCTGAACAGATTGACCTATGGATATGGAATATGGCTCACAATGTACGCCCGAAAATGTTACCTCTAATGCTATATGATACGTGTTGTTGAATGAATCATATATTTTCCAAATCAACAGATTATTCTGGAAAAAAGCAACATTTTGAATTTTTTTTTTAAAGATGTATTATACAAGTTTACTACCAATTATGTTCAGAGTAATTTTAGCCACATTATGTATGTGGTCTTCTTAAGTTATTCATTCGGGATAAATAAATACGCTCAGTGGTCCTCTCTGTACAGCTGGGGTGACCGCAAATTCAACAAAAGTGTGAAGTAGACTGTCAAATTTAAAATGTTGAAAGTCGGCGAGGAAGGGTACCAATTTAGCTAGGGGTGTCACAATCAAAACAATATTTGGGGACTGGTTGCTTCTTGGGAAAAATTTGTCACTAAAGACAGTTGTGAGATTATGGCACCTATGTGACGTCATTTTCGGTTGGGGTTCTGTCCGAATTTAAAATTGATATCTAAAAATGAATTATTTATTGGAATTTTCAATGAAACTGAAAGGTTTGTTCCGCACAGGAATCAGCTTAGAAGGGCCAAATACAATTTGTAGAACCAGATATTTGATTTTAGTGAACCCATTTGTTTCCATTTATAGCTGTAAAATACTCGACTAATATTTTATACCAGTTGTTAATTTGTAACACGTTTAAAACCTTATCTTTCTACGCGAATTAACAATAAATATTTCATTGGATAAAACGGAAACATTTTTATACATGTAAAATAATTACTGCTCTCGAAAAACTAGGTCTCAAACTCTTCTCTCGCCCCTCCCCCCCCCTTCCTCCTCCACACACACACACCACCACCACCAATTATCCACCAGACTAAAGACGAGAGGTTGTATTGTATTGAAATGTGAAATTTGGACTGTATAATTGGGTCTAGTCAATATAGAGCCTGTTTCACAACAGATGTAGCGTAAATAGTTTATTCATTATTCTGTATATTTCCTAAGAAATTAATAATACTTTAAATATCATTTGAAGTTTATTTAGTGTTGTATTGTTTTGTACACGGGAACCCTTTTTTAACGAATTATATGATTTATAGTATAAGTCACGTATGACTCTTAATTTTAATGATATAATTATATAGCTCAATTTAGAAATGAAATGAGGTGTAACTTAACGTACTACGTTTCGTCACTGGCTGGGCTGAAAACGGCGGGCATACGCCAAAGAGTGCCGTGTGCATCGAGAGGAAATTCTGCCCGCTGCGGCGCTACGGCCTATTCTTATTTCGGATTCAAACTTTTACGTGCACACCGGGAGTGGGCCCGAGGCCCTTTTATTAGTCAGCCAGCGGCTTCCACCACCTAGGATTAGGTGAGAACAATATACATTAGATAATATTATATACTAATGCGCTATGTATTACCAATAAATCTTTAGTAAGATTTAGCTATCGAGAACATAACACAACTCAGTGACCGAACTTGGCTTGCCAATGCCCGGGGCGTTAAGCCCTATCTACTATCAATAACATTACCTTTAAACCTGACAACCATACTTATTAAGTGTAATAAATCAATAACTGTTGTCCGACATAAGAGGGGGGTCACGTGGCTAAGTGGGTAAGACGCTGGCTCGCTAGCCTGGAGGTCGGGTGTTCGATCCCTGCATTAGCCGAGAAAGTTCACCAGGATTTTCCGACGTGGTTTCCCCTTGTCAGTGGTGCAGAACGGAGGGCCTGACAAGGACAGCTGTCTAGTCCTTCGGATGTGACGAAAAACCGAGGTCCGGTGTATATATTGGAAAGCACGTAAAAGACCCCCAGGCAGTTGGAATTCGATATAAGAGTAGGCGATAGTGCCGCTGCCCGGTCAAAATTTCCCTCATAGCACACTGTATGGCGTATGCCCGTCTTCATTAGCCCAGTTTAGGAGCAGAACAGTAGGACGTTAAACCCCATTTCATTTCATTTCGTACCGGACCGGTCCATTTACCGGTGACGACTTGTAAGCAATGACCCATTTCGCTAAGCGTCTTTGCATGAATGGTATGCAAAAAGTAATTCGCCATTCGTTTTCATTATTTGCCATTCTTTTTTTTTAAATTGGTGTCGGTTTCTCTATCTTTCGCTTCGCTATGAACGAAGGTGGCTGTTTACAGTGTGAAGCTTCATTTAACAAACGATAATTAAAAAGGGATTCTGGCGTTTTTTGTTCAATAAATGGTTTTTCGTCTCATCCGAAGGACTAGACAGCTGTCCTTGTCAGGCCCTCCGTTCTGCACCACTGACAAGGGGAAACCACGTCGGAAAATACTGGTGAACTTTCTCGGCTAATGCAGGGATCGAACACCCGACCTCCAGGCTAGCAAGCCAGCGCCTTAACCACCTAGCCACCCGGTCCGGTACACATTTACATAAAACACGGTATTGATCTAATTGATATACAAGAGTACTGGTCAATAGAGACTTCACATAAGGATAGTGTCTTGTTTACTATAAAAGCTATTATATTTAACTGAATAGAATATGTGCCGTATTTACAAGGTTATTAATAGTTCATTCTTATTATCTTATTGTCGTCACGAAATTCATTTTTATTTTTATAGAAAGTGTATCCTTTTTTCTTTTTAAAGCTAGGTTCCCACTGTCGTGCGATGCGTTACGATAGGATTGTCCCCATTGAGTCTACGATCTGCTACGTGCAGATGCGTTCGGATAAGTTTCGATACGATCAACGCGATTGCTACGACTGGCCTCAATGTATGATAAAGACCTGATAGGAGAGAGAGAGAGAGAGTCAGAGAGAGAAATGGGGTTTAACGTCCACTCGATACACACTAGATCATTTCAGGACTAACATATGGTTTAATTTTATTTCAATAATTCGCTTGCGAAGCGAAAGATAGAGAAACCGACACCACTTTAAAAAAAAAAAATGGCAAATAACGAAAACGAATGGCGAATTACTTTTTGCCATTCGGATGGCGAATATCCTCTATCGAGATATATGGGAAGAAACCACTAGTTTATTACACAGAAGCACGACGTTCGATAATTATCCTCGTGCATTGGAATGTCGATGTAAAAAAGGCTGTGCTGCAATAGACTGTAACTAAAGGATTACTGTAAAATACTTACAACGATTGTTAATTTAAGTCCTTTTCCTAGCTGTTTGAATTATTACACGTAGTCCATGCAGTAATCAACAACAGTGTCCAACTATTCCAACTACACTGTCATAATAATACTACCTACCTTTCAAGCAAAGCCGTTTAGCGAAACGGGTCATTACTTAAGGCCATCACCTGTAAACAGACCTGTCCGGTATACATTGCTCCGAGCAATATGGGACTGGTTGTTCAAAAGGTAAAAACCAAGGTTTTTTTCACATGACGATTCAACCACATTTAGAACACGGTATTGATCTAATTGATATACAAGAGTACTGGTCAATAGAGACTTCACACAAGGATCTTGTCTTCTTTACTAGATAGAATATTTGTCGTGTTTACAAGGTTAATAATAGTTCATTCTTGTTATCTTATGGTCGTCACGAAACTCTTTTTTCTCTATTTGTTTTTAGAAAGTGTGCTCTTGTTTTTCTTTTTAATGCTAGGTTCTCAGTGTCGTGCGAGGCATTACGGTAGGATTCTCCCTATTGACTCCACGATCTGGTACGTGCAGATACGTTCGGATAAGTTTCGATACGACTGGCCTCAATATATGATAAGACCTGATATGATCACCACGATTACTCCACGATTAAAACCACGATTTCAATCGTGATAGTGGGAACCTGGCATTATGAAAGCTTGGCTTTATTAAACATACATTATGCAAGAGCTAAATCTGATTATTGCAAGTCTTTATTTAGGCTTCAGATGTCATAGAAATTATAAATTAGATCTTTATTTACACAACAAGCACAAAATCAACTCTGTAGACCCACGGATGGCTTGGATTTAAACGGGATTTCGTTGACTGATTTGATTTTAAATGGCGTCGTGAGCGGAGATTAACCGTTACGTTGACGTGATACTCCCGGATCGAGGCTAAATGATAGAGTGTACGAAGCGAGGCCGCTGTTGAGCGATGCCTTAACAAATAACATCAAAACTATTTAAAGTGCAATAAACTAAACAGAGATAATGACAAATTATACAATTCCTGGAGACCGTGTGATGACTAATACAGATGGACAGGAGGTCTTCTGTCTTAATAATATCAATAAAAATATTTTTATTTCCCCAATAGGCACGACGCCACTGGTGTATACCTATAGATTCGTCATAATTCATATTATAATATTATGTCCTATATTCAATTGATTTAATGCCTGCCCAAAATATAAGTAAGAATGAAAATTTACCCTCTCACTCAGTTTGTCCAATTGTTATAAAAATCCAAAAAGGTAAAGCACAAATTCGGATATGATGACAGCAGACAAAAGACAGCAGAGATTATGTAGGTGCAGTTAACGCCTGTCAATCAAACGATCAGCCATACCAAGAATCGGTGAAGATGGAATTCAATCCCATTTCTAGCCAAAAATTACACTGGTGATAACTATGTTCAGAATAAAGTAATTTGACTGAAATTTTCAATATATTCTTCTTTCATCATCTATTTTGAACTGTTATAGCAAGAATGGCTAACTCCTTATAAAAGTCTCCCATAATGTATCTTTAACTACAGCATACAGTTCAATTCTGATATGCATTATAACATCTAAACGCGCTCAATAGGGCAGACAGCTAGATTATGATTTTAAGTATATCAGAATGAAGAAGTAAAAATGTTTGATTTTTTTTTATCTTGATGTATTTTTAATGTTTTATGTATTATGTAGAAGTATTTGTTCGCTAAGTGGGTAAGACGCTGGCTCCCTAGCCTGGAGGTCGGGTATTCGATTGCTGCATTGGCCGAGAACGTTCATCCAGATTTTCCGGCGTGGTTCCCTAGCGATTGAATTTTCGACCTAGCCTCGATCATCATTACTAAAGTCGTTACGATAAAAACAGTCTCGATTATCCATTTCATGATTAAATTACGAATGGAAGTGGAACAGGAAATCGGATACTAATCCAATAAACATCGCAGGCTAGCGATGGCATCGAAAATTGATTATGGTCTGCATAAGTTAAGTAATGTCTAATTAATAATTTAGATAACATATAAGGCCTAAAGAAAGACCTGCAATATGCAGAATTAGCTTATGCATATGTTTAACACAATATGTTATTGGGGGGTTGGATAGCTGAATGGTTAGCACGTGCGCGCTGTACCATAGTCTGTGATTGAGTCAACTGGGTGGGTTTTCTCCGGGTCCTCCGGTTTCCTCCCACTGCTAAAGACCCCTACGCGCAAGCGAATTATTGAAATAAAATTAAACCATATGTTAGTCCCGAAATGACCTAGTTTGTGTCGAGTGGACGTTAAACCCCTTTTCTCTCTCTCTCTCAATATGTTATTAGCTACAGTATTAGTATTAATCGATATAAACATGACACTTTGACTTGTCGCACAGCTGCCACCTCTCAGAATTAATACTTGGCATTAGCAATGATCCAAAAAGCTCACACTATGTTGGGGGTTGGTAGCAGAATGATCTAATACGCGCGCTTTAGGTCATAGGGTTGATGGCCAAAATGAAGGGTTTTCTCCGGGTCCCCCTGTTTCTCTTCCGACTGCTGATAACCCCTACGTGCAAGCGAATTATCGAAATAAAAATGAGCCATGTGATAGTCCCGAAATGACCTACATTGTTTTAAGTGGACATTACCCCCCCCCTCTTCTCTCTCTCTTGATAATTAAAGCATTCATGGTGATATGTCTAAAAAAAAATGTCTCTAACTCGCAGTCTGGCTCTTAACGTTTAACGTAATGTCGGGGATACGGTGGCTAAGTGGGTAAGGCGCTGGCTCGCTATTAAGGAGGTCGTGTGTTTGGTCCCTGCATTGGCCGAGAAAGTTCATCCGGCGTGGTTCCCCCTCGTCAGTGATGCAGGACGGAGGGCCAGACAAGAACAGCTTTCTAGTCTTTCGGATGGGACGAAAAACTGAGGTCCTGTGTACACATTGGCGTGCACGTAACAGATCTCTTGGCAGTTGGAAGTCAATATAAGAGTAGTCCGTAGCGCCGCTGTCCGGGGAAAATTTCACTCATAGCACACTGTATGGCGTATGCCCGTCTTCATTATCCTAGTTCGGAGCAGAACACTAGGGCGCTAAACCCCAATTCATTTCATAACATAATGTCTATATTAAGTGCAGGAGGACGACAAAATTAACTACAGCAAAATTAACTTCAATCAGTATGACCATTCAATGTGCCTTTTTTATTTTAATTTCCCAGATTAAATAATTTGACTGTTCGTGTAATTGTTTTCATTTTTTTCAAATCAAAACGTTTCTCTTAAATTACTTAATTTACACTGACATTTATTCCATCATAATTTTTAAATAAAATGTGTTAATTATCAAAAAAGAAAGGTTGGAGTTACGTATGGAACATGTCTTGTTAAATGTTACTAATTATGTCAAGTTAAATTATAACAATAGATGTCGAATGATTAGCTACACTGTAAACTCCAATGTGTATTTTCTAACAACTACATTGGGAATGTACTTTTCTGCACCAAACGGGGTAAATGCAGTGATGCATACGCCATGTAGTGTATTGGCAAGAGAGAGAGGGAGGTTTAACGTCCAATCGACACAAACAAGATCATTTCGGGACTAACACATGGTTCAATTTTATTTCAATAATTCGCTTGCGCGTTGGGGTCTTTAGCAATGGGAGGAAACTGGACGACCAGGAGAAAACCCAACGGGTTGAACAGGCGACCGTACCCACGTACAAGCTGGGAATCGACACCACGCCACCTGACTCAATGACAGGCCTTATGGTTTCAAGCGCACGCGTCAAACCACTAGACCCAACCCCTTCCCGATCAGCAAGTTTTTTGACTGCTTATAATATAATTCTCCACCTACCATGTGTATAATGAAGACCTTGAATTTCCGATCCGAACGACTAGACTCTTTTTGTTGCCAGATAAACAGTCCTACGCTACTCTCGAGGGGAAAGCATGAAGCAAAATCCAGAGGAAATTTCTCAGCCAAAACCGGAAAAGAACCCGTGCTAGTTAGCCAGTACCATATTCATTAAGCCAAGGTGGCTCCCAAAATGGTAAAAGGATGGAATTAAATAGAATTTAACCTGGCGACAATATTTGAGTTACATGGGCACACCCAGGTAATTTTAACAAGGGTTGCTACATGACTTACATAAGGCCAAGGTGGCTCCCATAATGGTAAAAGAATGGAATTAAATAGAATTTAACCTCCTGGTGACAATATTTGAGTTACATGGGCACACACAGGTAATTTTAACAAGGGTTGCTACATGACTTACATTTCATTACATCATCTTTGGGCATATATCATAATGCAATGATGGGGTCCACGGTGGCTCCTTGGGTAAGGCAGTGACTCGCTATCCAGTCGATCAAGGTGTTGGTCGAGAAACTTCCTCGGATTTATCCGACTTGGCTTAACGTGTCAGAGATGTAGGCCAAAGGGTCTGACAAGGTTTCGTGTCTGTTCGCCCGTGCAAAATGTCCCCCATAGCACAATCGGTTATTGCAAAAAAGGGGGGGGGGGAAGTTAAACCCCATTCCATTTTATGTATTTATACGTTGCTTTTAAGTATGCCCGTCGGCATTTGCTTTGTTGGTGCGAAAGATTAGGACGTTTAACACCATTACGTTTCATCATTGTCTTAGATTTCGATTCCCCGCTTGTACGTGACAAGTTTTAAGGTCGCCTGTCGAACCTCGTGGGTTTTCTCCGTGTCTTCCGATTTCCTCCCACTGTTCAAGACCCCTACAGCGAAGCGAATTATTGAAATAAAATCGAACCATATGTTAGTCCCGAAATGACCTAGTTTGTGTCGAGTGGACGCTAAACCCCATTTTTCTCTCTTTTAGATTAGTTGCTGATGATATGATAGATATGAGATAATTGTTAAACATTCAGCGTGTGACTTTAGATCTATAGAATCCCTTGTAATATCAGTCTAACATGGTTTAATTCTGTTCAGTATTAATACAGATATGACAAATTGAAACACTAGGACGACCGCCATCTTTATTTGCCGAGAAAAACAAATAATGGGCGTGTTTTAAATCTTACTGATATTATTTAGTGTTGGTATTTTCATTGTGTTTACTTAAATAAATGTTAAATAATCAATGCAAATCACGCATCATTAATTTAAGTTGTCGGTTAAACGTAAATGTTTAAATTAAAAGACAATGTTTACAGTGTAAAGATTCGGTTAAGTTTACAAGATTGGCCTTCGCAGTAATGTGTTAGTCTTTGTCGAAGATTATAAAAGTCAACGGAGAGGTTTTTTTGTGAATATATTGACAAGTTTAAGACAAAAGTGATAATTCGTAAACTTGCGAGATAGATCATGACTTCCGTCCCGTCGTGGGGATATAAAACTCCAATCGGGGTATGTAACACCGTATTTGTACACAAGAGTTAAAACGCGAGGCAACATGATGAACTATCTTTTGTTTGCTGTCTTTGTTCTTTGTTTGTTGAGAGGTACGTCTTATATTTCACATCTCTTAAACTTTAGATATATCTAATTGATTTCAAAATATTTCAGTAATTATAATTATAAAACTTAAAGATACATTATGTAAAATTTAAATAAAGAGCTAGCCATTCCTGCTATAATAGTTCGAACATAGATCATGTAAAATTAATAATTTGAAAATTTCATTCAAATTATTCTATTGCGAGGGAAGATATTAACCTTTAAAGGTTTGACTAGACGTCTGGAATAATTTCAACCACCGTTCTAATCTATTTAATATCGGAGAAATCCGGTGCCGTTGAGAGTTGATTATGGCCTGGCCCAATTAATTAATGTCTAATTAATAATTTAGAAAACATTTCAGGCCTAAAGAAAGACCTGCAATAGACAGATTTAGCTCTTACATAATGTATGTTTAAGTCGAACAAGCCTTGTAAAGTTAAATTTGTTCTAAGTAAGATGTACGTCTTACAATAAATATTGTTCGTGCTTTTAATATTTTCGTTAACCAAGCTATTAATATTTTCGGTTGTTAGATTAATTAAAACGATCCTAATAATTTAAACTTTAGATATTTCTAATTGATTTTAATGTATTTCTGTGAATATAAATATAACATATATGCCGAACCTTTAATCGCCAAATCGTGAAATTCTAACAAAAGTTTTGAAGTACGATTTTTAAAGTATTATTTATACGTCCCACAATTGATATTGTACTTGGCCACGCAATTGATATTTTCCTTTGTGAGATTAATTAATATTTTCCGATTATTTAAACAGTACTTTGTACCTTTGATTTCCATTTTCCTTTGCTAGATTTGGCTTTAATTGTCAATTGCCCGCTTAGTTACTCAATTACAACACATGCACCGTGATATTTTTTGGGGGTGGGGGTATATTTTAAGGATAAAAAAGTATAATGAATAAAAAAATGAATGCACCGGAGTTAACGCCCTGCTCTTCAAATAGATAATGACGGAAGCTAATAGTTGCCCTCGTTCAAGCGACACCCTTTATTAAAGAATTCGAATCTAATGGAATTAACGCCCTAATTAAAGAATGCGTTAACTCTGTCTTTTTTGTACACATAACTTTTTCATTTCCTATTTGATATCTTCTCTTACTTAGGTCTTTGTCCATTGGTTAGGGGGTGGGGTGTTGGTTCCAACAATGAGTGAAAAACGTTTTTGTTTTGATGTAATTTTAGCAACATTAGTGATAAATCTAGTCTTTCTTCTCTCAATTTACCATTCGTATAGCATTCCATCTGATTAAATCACAGATCCTATTTTATTTCGTTTTCAATAGTTCAAAATTTCGTTTTACTTGCCTCCACGAGAGTTGTTAATAACCCGTGTTCTGGTTGATGTAAGGAATTGAAATGAAATGAAATGGGGTTAAACGTCCTACTGTTCTGCTCCGAATTTGGGCTAATGAAGACGGACATACGCCATACAGTGTGCTATGAGGGAAAGTTTGCCCGGACAGCGGCACTACGGCCTACTCTTATAGCGAATTCCAGCTGTAAATGGATCTTTTACGTGCACGCCAATGTGTAGACGGGACGTCGGTTTTTCGTCTCATCCGAACGACAAGATAGCTGTCCCTGTTAGGCCCTCCATCAATGACAAGGGGGAACCATTCCGGAAAATCTGGATGAACTTTCGCAGCCAATGCAGGGATGGAACACCCGACCTCCTGGCTAGTGAGCCAGCGTCTTACCCACTTAGCCACCGCGACCCCCATGGTTGATGTAAGGGCAAAGTTGTATTTCCAATACCAAACATCAACGCTGATTGGTTAATCAAATGTCTGAGGACACAGAGACAAAGGCCGCTCGTATGACCAGTCATATTTTCATGTGGTGGAGGCCATCGGAAGTGTAAAGAAACGAAACGAAATATAGATCTGTATTTTAATCACAGTGCTTGACATTTGCGTCCAATTGATATCACCGACAAGAACGCTCGTGAAAAATACTCAATTGAATTTGATTATTCGTTGGATTTCTGGTTATTATGTTTGTCTTAGGTTGTATTATCTATACGTTATTACATAGAATTAATTTAATTTATTACAAATCTTTAATATTTCTGCAAAATTTGTTTAATTAGCTCGTTTTACATTTGATATTTTTTACAATTATATTTATATTCTGTTTTGCAGGATGTTCAGGATACGGTAAGTTCTATTTTTGATATTCAAATGTCTCTTAACATAAACATCATCTCTAGAAATGCTAAATCTTTGAAAGCATACCCTATTCTGTGTAAAACTAAATCACCTATCGCGATCTACCTTGTTTCTGATCATCGCGTACATCCCGTGAAGTTCAGTGTCCAAGTTATGGACAGACACTGTGATTGCAATTACAGGCTGGGGACGGAACATGAAACGACGGTGTCGGCCGTCTTCGAGAGGCGAAGGCGTGGCGCTTACCGTACAGGACCCCGCTCCCACAAAAAAGAAAACGAAAATGAGAGAGGGTTTAACGTCCACTCGACACAAACCAGGTCATTTCGGAACTAACATATGGTTCAATTTTATTTCAATAATTCGCATGCGCGTAGGGGTCTTTAGCAGTGGGAGGAAACCGAAGGACCCGGAGAAAACTCACGAGGTTGGACAGCCGACACTACTCCTTGTCACGTACAACTGGGGATTCGAAACCACGCCAGTTGATTCAATGACAGACCTTATGATACAGCGCGCACGTGGTAATCCCACCCCCTTTCCTGGTACAAATAGTGATAGTGGGAACATAGCGTTACTATGGTTGTATTAACATCTTCTAATTCAATTTAACTATTGTAACAAATAAAATGAATATTCATACCTTTTATGATCCTTAACGCCGTAACACGTGTAAAAATAAAATAGATATTTGACTAACATCCTTGTTGAATAAGTATGCCATTAATAATATAAAAAAGATGACGTGTGAAATTATATACGTATGTATAACATCAATGATACTTCAATTCATTATTGATACATTTGGATTATAAAATGACTTTTAAATTGTTTAATAACCAGAAGCCTTTTATGTTTTATCTGTGTCCTCTTACCAAGATAAATATAGAAATATAACATAAATTTATACATAATATTGTCCCGTGATGCATAGGCGTACAAGCTCGATGTAATTTAACTGCCGCAAACGCGTTTTCCTGCTATACCAGCCTGTGAATACAGCAACTTCAATGTGGTCTAATATAGCCTATTTCAGTGACTTCCCTGAATCCCAAACAATCGTCACTGGGTATGGGGAATTCGCCCCCCCCCCCCCCCGAGACAATTTAAAAATTTAACTGCCGTAAATGCATTTTTCTGCTATTCTAGCCCATGAATTAAGCAGCTTCAAAGTTTCCAATCCCACTCTATGCCGACTTGAATTCCAACCATCTAATCAGACTGCTGCCGCGACATTCACAAATAATAATCGATACCTCAAAAAAGTCGCACAAAGTAGAGTGGCTCCAGACAAAGTAAATTCAGTACGAAATCGTGGTATTCAATTAAAAAAAACTATAATTAGTGTTTTATTAGATTTCGGGAACTTTATTTTGCCAACTAGATGAAATAATATTTTTTTTTCACTTTACCCGTCTGCCCGAAAAGTTGGATTGACCTAAAGTTAGCGGGACAGCTGTCCCCCGCCCCCTGCATCACTGGCTAGTACGCCTATGGGTCAAGCCCTGTATTTGTCGAGAAAGTTCTTCAAGGCTGTCCTGTGTTGAAGATGGAGCCTTGGAACGGACAAATGAGTAGCCGTTCTAATGGTAGAAAACAATGAACTCGTTAGCGTACTTGTAAAAGAACCCCCGAAAGTTCAGTCTGATTATAACACAGATCCTATTTCGTTTCGTTTTTTACAGTACAAAACGCCGATTAGTTAATCACATGTCTGAATTTATAGGGCCAAAAGTCGCCCGAATAACCCCTGACGCGACCTCTCACTACAACCGGTCAGATCTTTATGCTGTGAAGGCCATCGAAAGTATAAAAAAAACGAAACGAAATATAGATCTGTATTTTGATCGATTGCCTGGAAGCTAGAATTCGCACAAGAGTAACCGAATATGCTGCTGTCCGGCTAAATTTCTCCCATAGCATAATAGAGTATGTCCATCACCGTGTTGTTCGAGAAATTTCTTCAAGATTGTTGACAGGGTCTGGCAAGGACAACTGACCATTCGTTATGATGGTACGAAAACCATGGACTATGCCAGTTAGCGTTCCTGTAAATAACCCTTAATGGTTAAAATTCGATTAACGCTACTCTGACAAAATTTCTCTCATACCACGAGATGGGCTCACTAGTCCGCGGGTGCACAATTCCGCCGCTATAAATGAAATGAAATGAAATGGGGTTTAACGTCCTACTGTTCTGCTCCTATACTGGGTTAATGAAGACGGACATACGCCATACAGTGTGCTATGAGGGAAATTTTGCCCGGCCAGCGGCACTATCGCCTACTCTTATATCGAATTCCAACTGCCAAGGGATCTTTTACGTGCATTCTAATGTATACAGGGGACCTCGGTTTTTCGTCTCATCCGAATGACTAGACAGCTGTCCTTGTCAGGCCCTCCGTTCTGCACCACTGACAAGGGGAAACCACGTCGGAAAATCAGGATGAACTTTCTCGGCCAATGCAGGGATCGAACACCCGACCTCCAGGCTAGCGAGCCAGCGTCTTAACCACCTAGCCACCGTGGCTCCCCCGCCGCTATAAGAAATACTATAAATATGGGTATCAATAAACCTAACCCTATCCCAACCTTAACACTATTAATAGATATCGGCGGACTAATGAACCCTAACCTTAATAATAGATATGGATGGACTAGTGAACCCGCGGACTAGTGAGCATTCCCCCATACCACACTGCATCGATCCGTACAAACAGAACAACGTTAAACAAAATTACTTTTTATTTCAACTTATCTATTTATTTGTAGAATGTTTTTATGATGACAAAGTGGGTTATGGAATAACAGCTGACACCAGACTCTTTTACAAACTAGTTGACACCATCGAGATATGCGAGGCTATGTGTGAGGCCTCGGAAGAGTGTACCGTTTACAGGTACGAGAGGTTTGGTTGTCATCTGTTGCAGAGACCGGTTTTAGATCGACAGGTCGTGGATGATCTGGATGAATGTAAGGAGGCATGTGAAGCTCACGACGAATGCAATCTACTTCAGATTGTTTATTCTGAATATGAAGGAAACGTCTGTTGGTTGTATTCTTATTCAGACATCAAACCAACGATATACCACAACGACGTGGTCAGCATCAAAAGTTGTCTTAAATAAATAACCAATAATCAAGATAATCCGTGCAATAACAATTCTTTGGTTCAGATTATTGTTTTGTGTAACATTTCGTTCAAATTGATGTAAATGTCAAGCAGTCTTTTGTAAATAAATTAATTCATTTTCTATTTCTGATCCTTTATTTTATTGATGCTATTCAACCGATTTATGGACAAAGACTGATCAGAACATAACGGAGGGATCAAATTGTCGCGGGTGTGTCTAGGGGTCCACATGTATGCACATTGGCATATACGTAAACGGCCCCTTCGTCAGTTGCAATTGCATGAAGAATAGACAAGAAAGTCGCTGCCCGGGCAAAATGCTCCCTATCATGGCACATGTAACCATAGAAACGGTAATTACCATATCATGTATTGTGTTGACCAAGCTTTAGAAACCATTATGTGCTTGTAGTTTCTATAGTTCAAAACAAAGCATCTAGTTGTATAGAAGTCATATATAATTGATTTTAAAGGCTCAATACCACTCTTGTAACTGAATAATATGTCCCAATCTTTATTCTGGTCAACAAATTGTACTATTTTACAATATTCCAATTAATTGATGATACAAATTTTAATGGAAAAATTCAACTAAATGATTTTAAAAGTCAAACGTAAAGCTTTTCAAATGTGACTTGGATTTTAAAATATTTTTGAACCTTTGGACAAGTAAAATAGGATTTAATGGATAATTTACACAACAGGTAGGACACCAACACATCTAGTACTTAGAATAAGGCTATTTTTTTATTTTCTGGAGTGTTGTTGTCCCTTTAAACAGACACGCCACGCCACTTGACTCATTTTTGACCGTTCGGCCACGTAACGCCCTGCTGTTTAATAGACATGGAGCGTATTTATCATTTTAATTTGTGTTCTACGTACGTAAGTCTACCCAAGAAACTCATTTCCTCCGTAAACAACCCACAACCAGTCGTTAATCGGATTACTGGGATGTAGTCTTAGTAATGAATATTAATTCTGTCTTTCCGACCACGACTTTTTCATTGTCGAAAGGTTAATATGAAAGGTATTATACGAACATGTTCCACCCAATCCTTTTGTTTCCTGTCCCGAAATCTCTAGAATTATGTGAAATGACACGAGTCTGCATGGCAAATTTACAATGACGTCAGTTAGATTCAAAGGGAGAAATTTAGCGGCCAATTTCGCGTTAACTATAATTTATTTGTGATTGAAATCACCTACATTTTCATGTGGACATTTATTGTTGTCGTCCATCAGTCCGTGCACATTTTGTTTGTGGACACTCTACAGGTCATAATGTTTATCCGATTTTGCCAAAACTTGAAATATACGTTTATATCCTAACGATCTCAGTCCCGGTCGATCATAGCATATTTCGAACCGTTATTTCGTGCATTATAGCTTGTGGACAGTCTCCGGGTTACAAATTTTGTTTCCGATTTTGATGAAATGTAGGTTTATAACCCAAAGACCTCGGTACCTTTCGATATTGACAGTGAGTTCGAATTTCGTGAAAATCAGACCGAAACTGCTCCACGTACGCAAATAGTGTAAAAGTGTGTAATACTATAAGGTCGTGGACCCTCTAGAGGTCAAAATGTTTATCAGATTTTGATGAAACTTAAAATATGTTTATATCCCAACGATCTTGGTTCCCGTCGATATTAGCGTAGATCAGATCGTAACTTCCTGGATTATGGCCCCTGATTTTGATGAAACTTTTTGATAGTAACGCATGTTTAACCGTAACATCCTGGATCATGACCCATTATTGTACGAATATTTGTAAGCTTGTTCTCCGTCTCTTGCAAAATGTGGACGTATCTTGCATGGCAAGCACTTGTTACTTTGGCAGATAACCAAAGGTGAGTGCCGTACGAGACCGTTTACCCCTATCGGTTGTGCAGGACGGAGGGCCAGGCAAAGATTCCTTTGGCATGTATCGGACCATATCACAAGTTTTAGCAGATTTGGATGAAATATAAAATGTTTAAATTCCAAAGATCTCCGTTCCATATGATATCGGTGCAAATCGGATCGTAACTTCCTGAATTATGGCCCCTGGTTGTACGATAAATCACGATCGTATCTCGTGGATTTTCAAGCGGACACAAATTGTATATGATTTAAAAACCGTTTATATATATCACCGTTACACCATAATTATTACGGGTGCCCGTCAAGCACGCAATGACCATCCTCGTGTTATGGCATTACCGGTGGATGAATGTGGTCAGGATGCCAACTTTTCTGGTAGTGAGGGCACCCATGGAAGGCTCATAATCACCCGATACTTAAGCTGAGGAAACCTTCGATAAAGACTGTAGATGAACAGCAGCAGATATAAACACCTCTTAGTTGTTCAGTGACTATCGTAAATACAATGACCAATATTTAGCTTTCTACGACTTCCCATTCCGGATCTATCTCCCTTTGCCGGAAACCTTGTGTACGGTATAGGGGTTACAGGTTTAAACGGATTCTTTTCACATTTGTTGTGAAACATTGTAATCATACGAGGTCACATCAATATTCACGTTCCACGACCTTGATTACAAGGGTTATGTACCATTTGCCGAAATCCTTAAGAACGCAAACGAGGAAAGAATATTTAATGTATTCTTTTCAATGATGAGAGGACACACCCATATTTAGTGTTCCGCGACCTTCTATACCCCCTTTGCCGAAAACCACGTGAACGCGATACCGGCTAGTTTCTAACGGATTCTTTTCATACTAGGTGAGAGGCAGTGTGGTCATGAGAGGACGGACCCTGTCAATATTCAAGCGTTCCGCGATCTTACGTACCAGAGTTATGTATTCTTCGCCGAACACTTTTGTGGAAAGCATTCGCGCCAAGAGAATGCAATCCTTACATTGCCCCCACCCCAACACCTTGTTAACTCGATAAACGAGAGGACAAATTATAGTGATATCTAGTGTTCTTCAATATTCCGCCCCCCCCCCTCCAAATTCAGCGCTCTATCGATATTTATTTTCTGCGACTCCCTGTCCCTGAGTTATTCCCCCTCCCCCCAAATGCCAAAAACAGAAAAATGAAATGGAGTTATATGACACGTTAGCTCCGGCCGGGATATATTGCGCCAAGCAAATAATGTGGCTAATTCATATCACAGAACATAATTATTCATATACACAATACAAACAAATATTACCCTATTCAAAGCATGAAAATATTTAAAATGTAAAAATGAAACTGATCATTATACATTTATGTACAATCAATAAATATAATAAAAATGTCTTTTTGTAAAATTTTGGTATCTTACAATAACCGGTTGGGCAATTAATTGATGTAATGAATGGCAACAACAAAATGCCACCCAAAATGCTTACACGCATCATGTGTTAAACTATCAAAAAGATTGCTTATGAACCATATTCAGCATATCGCCACTTTCCATTCCGGAGTTATCTTTCCTCGATTTGGCAAAGATCTGTGAACGCGACAGTGGCTAAATATTTGGACATACTATTTTTGGTGTAAAGGATTCTGGTCATGAAAGGGCCAACTCTATGATAGATGCTAAATGATATTTGTTACAGTCTTTCTTTTTTTAAAGCTTGTGACCAAAATAGAGGGATACATTCCTTATCAAAATTGGCTAACATCCAAATTTTCCTCTCTGATAAGCCGATTTCGTACGTATACCGTATGAAGCCTGACTATCTTTGTTAAAGGGAAGCCATAATGTATATTTCAACAGACGCTTCCACATAGAAGAATAAAAACACGATTCATAAAGAGTACAGTCGGTAGTGCACGGTATTAAAATGTTAAATCAAGAATATTTGCTAACCAAAGAAAAATTCCAAACAGTACAAAACATGATTTATATAAAGAAAGGAACGAACATGATCTTATTCTGAGCAGTGGTAGTCTAGCTGTCTGGACAATGCACACTCTCAAATAAAATGTCACGGGTTCAAATACCCTTGGGATTGGTCAAGCATAGCCTCCGCGACAACATACGACCACATTAACAAATAACGTAAAACCAATTACTATTTTTCAAATTGACACCCAACGTATCGAGGTGTTGCGACAATAGTATAGTCTGGTGTTGACATGCGCATTCCACAAAATCCATCGGTACTGGGTTTCTCACTTCCGGAAATCGATAGAGAAAACCTCTGTAAGATATTTGTGAAAAACAGGAATAGCTCCATTCTAGCCAGTGGTTCTCCTGGGCACATCCGTGGACCCGTTGAAAACGGCATGAATGTAGCAGGCGGTTTGGATACTTTTCCTGAGCCATCCAAGAACCGGTCTGGTTTAAATTTCAAGGGTTCCTCCCAGTATCTAGAATCAAGATGACAGGCGTACAAATTTGCAAAAACCAAAGTACCTTCAGGGATGAGATATCCTTTAACTACGGTGTCTTTGTCCGTGGTGTGAGGAACTGACATCGGAACTGCGTTTTCCAGACGTTGTACTTCCAGTGAGTTGTTTCATTATACGACATTTTAGATTTATCAGACCAGTCTACCATACGACCATCACCGACCACACTGTCGATTTCCTCTTGGCATTTCTTCTGGACTTCCGGATGAAGGACCATAAAGAGGAATGCCCAGTCCAGGGTGGTGGCTGTCGTGTCGGAACCAGCAAAAAATAGATCTATAATGATTCTTCTTGTGTTGCCATCACTGATAGTAGTGGTCTCATTGTTAGCACACATGTCAAAGTATACATCCATAAAATCCTTTATATCATTTTTATCGAAGTCATTTCTCCGTTTCTCAATGTGTTTAGCAATTAATTGTTCTACCGCCATGAACGCAGTACGCCCTTCCAACATTTTTGAAGCTATGAAAGGTATGAAACGAAGCTTTGGAAAACGATTAAGCGGTGTAAAAAATACCATATCACTAAATCCATCTTCTGGAACCTTTAGGATTTGAAGATATTCTGGATCACTATAGTCATACCTCTTACTTAATACAACCATACTGATGATGTTGATTGTAGCTTTCATCATCAGTTCATGGACTTTAATTGGTTTTCCTTCACATTTTGTTAGAAAGTCCAAAATGAAGTTAGTTTCGTCCTTAATCCTGTCTTCGATGGTTGATTTGCCAACTCCAAGATCGCGAAGAGTGCGAAGTTGCAT